ACCATGGAATGGAAATATTAAAATTGATTTTTTCAGAGGAGAGCATGGAGATGGATATTCTTTTGATGGACCAGGTTTCTTCGTTTTTTTTTTTACTCTATTAATATTAATAATTGACGATTGAAGGTAACAAGTAATTGTATTTTTTATAATGTTTAGAGAATTTTCATTGAAATTTTTGAAGAATTTTTATTGAAATTGTTGTAAAATTGCAATTTTAGTGATCCATATTGCTATTTTTTTGTTGCGAAAGATAAATAATACACTGATAAGTGATAAAATTGAAAAAAATTTTATCTTATAAAAGTTTCAAGCACTTTGAAAATTTTTTTTTTTCAATTAAATTATTTTGAATAAATTATTTGTAATAAAGAAATAATAATGCTGTAAATATTTTAGAATAAATTAGTGGTAAGCGGTTTTTTTATAAGCGAAATTATGATAATTAAATGATAACAGTATTTAGTTTTTCGAATTTTTTATGTTTATATTAATCGTCCATTTTAATTATTTCTATTATTGCTGAGAAAATTGAAAATTAAAATAAATTTGAAAATTTCACCAAAATCCAGTGCAAAATTTTAAAATTACTAAGTTAAATTTTATAACAGGTAAGATATTAGCTCATGCATTACTTCCGCCATATGGTTTTATTCATTTTGATGCGGACGAAGAATGGGCCGCTATGATTGTTACAGAACTTTCCAGGTTAACCTAAATTATTCTGTTTTAAACTAAAATAAATTAAACGAAATTAAATGCTTCGTTTTTTCTATTTAAATAATCTATAGCTATTTTTTTTTTAAAAAAAAAAGGAAAAAATTACTGCAGATATGATACAATAGATTTGCTGCCAACAGCAATTCATGAAATTGGACATGTTTTGGGCTTAGAGCATTCTTCGGAGAAAGGTTCGATAATGTCACCCATCTATCGTTATCAAACTATTGATGAAAATGGTGCATATGTGAAACCTAAACTTACTAATTTTGATATTTCACACATACAACAATTATACGGTAATCTTTCTTGTTTTTTTT